GGATTTCGGAGGGGATTGGCGGAGAGCGCGAGGGAGAGAATGTGACAAGTGCCGGCTCGGCGGCCGCCGGGGGAGGCCGCGCGCACCTGTCCCTGCCCGTCTCGCGCCGCCCGCGGCCGCTCGGACGCGCGCAGAGCCGCCCCCCGCCCGAGCGCCGCCGCCGCCGCGTGCGCCCGAGAACATGACTTCTGCCTTCAAGCTGGATTTCCTCCCGGACATGATGGTCGAGGGCCGCCTGCTCGTCCCTGACAGAATGTGAGTGCAGCCGGCGGCCCGCCGCGCCGCGTCCCCGGGCTGGGCGGCCGCGCGACCGAGTCCCCCTCCGAACGAGGCCACTTGGCCGCTCGCTCGGGGCTCGACCGCCTCCCGGGGCTCTCGGAGGCCGGCGCGGGGCGCGGGGAGGAGGGAGGGCGTCCCGAGGCGCAGCGCCGAGCGGGGCGGGGACGGGCGAGCGGAGACCGGGCGGGGTCCGAGCGAGGGTCGGGGCGAGGACACCGGCGAGCGGGGCGCGGCGTCCCGGGCCTCGGGCGGGGACCGGCGAGCGGGGCGCGGGGTCCGGGCGGGGTGCGCGCGTGCGGCTGTGCACGCCCGTGGCCTTGGCGACGCCGAGCGATGGAGCCCTCGTGGCCCGTTTAAAGATCTTACCACGCTCACCGGCTCGGCTGGCTTTCCATTGGCGAAGATTCCTTTTCTCAAGTGGGAAGGAGAAGCCGCGGCGGGAGAAAAGAAAAAAAAAAAAAGGCAAGAAAGAAAAGGAATAATTATAAGCGTTAAGCTAGCCAGGTTTAACTCTGTTGCAGAAATTAGAGGTAATTTTTACGTAATCGTGATGGTTTGTCTGATGTGCAGTCTGTAATTTAATAATTAATGTGGGTCTGGTCGTTTTGCATGTCGTCAAACTAGGGTAGGGCGTTTATTGGAAGAAGTAGAGAGCTGGGATTCCTGAGGAATGGAAAGTATGTCTAATTTTCATCTGGCTCGTTAGTCTTGATAGGAAAGTTTCTCTTACGAGCTCGGGGGCTGCCAGTAGGATCTATTTGTATTTCGGGCATGTTATGAAACGAAAACCTAAAGAGAGAAAAACGGGATTTGCGAGAGTGGGACCAAAAAGGTGTGTGTCCTTTTTATTAGACGGGGCATATGTGAAATTCTGTCTCATCAGGCGAGAAATTTCACGGTGGTTCTGGGCTGCAATTAATCTAGCGGGGAGGAAAAAAAAAAGAATCGGTAGCAGAAGAGGACATGCTGAATGTTGTCTGTTTTATCCGAGATACTTCACCTCCGTATTCTTTCCCGCATCTTAGGGTACCCTCCAATGTTCAGGCCATCGCTGGTTTTATAATCCATTCACCTGACAGTTAACTTTCCCCCTACCGTGCTCGGTTCTTTTTCTAGTGTGTTTAAGTGTTACGAGTTCAGGGATTTTTTGAGAAGCTCCGCAGTGGCAAATTATTTGAGATGCTTTGGCGGGGGTGGGGGGGGGGGGGGGGGGGGGGAGGGGTTTGATAGAATCTGTTGTATGTGAATTGTCTTTTCAGTCAATATTAAGAATGTTAACTTGCTAATACACAATCAGGTTCCATTGTCTCAGCTGAGATAATCAGATAACATAAATGAATATTGAATTCCTTTTGGCAGTTTTCTCTGGGGAATTAATCTTGATTAGTAAAATTTCCATATTTGTTTTAAGAGGTCTCTGTCCTGGTTCCCCACCCCCTCCCCCGCCCTTAAAATAGATCTCTGTATAAAAACGTGATGTTTGCACATCAGCTGGCTTGAAAGTTTTACGTGTTCTCTCCTCTCCAGACTAAGAGTGTCCGGGCTGAACCAAAGAATTAGCTTGATCATGATTTTGAATTTATGGTCACCTGCTACTTAAGTGACCATAGTAACTAATGAATGCTCTATGAATTTAAAGTGGTAATGGCCTCTGAAAGATGCAGTGTCTTGCCCATTAATTTATGAATTATGAAAATTTAATTTGTCTTTTTCATTTGGTGGATGAATGTGGCTTGTTCGAACTATTTGCTCTGAACAGAACCTTTGTGTCTTACCCGTGGAATCTGCTGCACAAATTCTGTTTTGATTTCTACCTCGCTTTTCTCCCAAGTGTTAGTTATTTCCCTTTGGAATCAAACCCAAATTGTTTTCAGCACTTGTCAACTATTGCTTAATTAAACTAAAGGAAAAAAAGAGAATTTGTAGATGATAATTTTATTGTTTGTTTCTAAGATAACTGTGTGTGTCTCCATAGCCCTGAAAACACTAGCATGTTTTCCAAAATAGCTTGTAATTAACTCCTGTTAGAGACCATACCCAGGTGATGGAGGTGTGTGGGAGGGAATATGCCAAGTTGAGAATCTTGAAACCCACCTAGGCAGCATATTTTATTGCCACGTTCGTGAACTTGAGAAGCTATCTGTGCAGATTTATTGTTTCCGGGCCTGGTTGTCATGTGCGGTATATTGCCATTTGGACTAAATTGCAGTCTGCTTGTTGTTGGCGTATTCCTAAAAGGAACTTAAATAAGGCATCGGGGCTTTTCTGGTGTTGATTTTTCTAAAGCAGTAGAACATTTACAATGGCATTTTCCCACAAGAATATATTAGATAAGTTTGCAAGATGTAATATGTTTGAGTCCTCAAGGCAGATGAACAAATAGCTTTTGAGATGAATTATTACGCTCACTGGCCCCACGAGCCATACATTCTTTAAAGAGCCCAGATCATTTAGGGCTCTGGAGTGGCATAGAATTGCTGTAACATGTGCTTTAAAGTTTTGGGAGTTGAAAGCATTCGGTATCAAAACTTAATGGACATTTTAAATAATTTTGGCTATTAAAGTTTTGTTGACTTTGTATTACTGTAGAATACCATTTTAACAAAGCATCATGCGAATAGGGGCTGATTTTTTTAAATTCTATTTTAAACCAGGGAGTTGGTTTTCATTTGGGGTGTTGTCTTCTTTGTTTTACCTTTTTCATGGTCAAATACATGCATTTAGGGTCTGTAAATTTTCTTAAATTTTTAAACAAAACTAAAAATAACGTCTTGAAAGTCAGAAGTTACCGGTAGAAAAATTGATAAATGCATTTCAAAAAGTATTCCGATTTTTTTTATTTTTTACTTATAATTCATTATTTTTAATCATAACTTTGTATGTTGATGCATTTATGGGGTTCAGGGTACTGCTTCGAAACACAATGTGAAATGTTTACATTGAACCAAAAGGCTACCGGTAAATTAAAATGAAATCTTAATTTTTTTTCTCACTTTTGCTAGTTAACCTTATTGGAAATGAGAAGTTATTCTGACTGTAAATTCCAACTTGACAAGTTAGACTTTTTGTTGGATAAGTCCTCCCAAGTTAGAATAATTGGCAAAGTACCCATGCATAATTAAACTGAAAGGAGGTCATCACTGTAAAAGTTAGAGAGGCTGTGGAGACCCCTCTGTCATCGGGCCTCGTTTTATAACTTAAGAAACTATTAGGCTCGGCGCCTGTGGCTCAAGCGGCTAAGGCGCCAGCCACATACACCTAAGGTGGCAGGTTTGAATCCCCAGCCCGGGCCGGCCAAACCACAATGATGGCTACAACCAAAATATGGCCAGGCGCTGTGGCGGGCGCCTGTAGTCCCACCTACTTGGGAGGCTGAGGCAGGAGACTCGCTTCAGCCCAGGAGTTGGAGGTTGCTGTGAGCATGATGCCATGGCACTCTACCCAGGGGGATAGCTTGAGGCTCCGTCTCAAAAAAAAAAAAAAAGAAACTATTAGAAAGGCAGCCTGTTCAGGAAGGCCCAGTGAATACAGCTTGCCCCAGACTGACACCATGTCAGGCGTTAGTTGAATCCCTAGTATGTAGCAGGATATTTTATGTATATTGCCTGTAATCATCACAGTATGATACCCCTTTTTACAGACGATGATTAGAGAGGTTGCCCATGTCACACAGGCAGTCAGTGGCAAAGCTGTGGTTTTCAAGTGTCCGTGCATGTGCATTGGTATTTTAAATTTATGTTCACATAGCGAGGGAGGAGATAGGGACCCGTGGATTAAAGTACTCTGTGAGGTGACCACCCAAGGGACTGTAACAGACTGGTCAACCTAAGGAACTAGGCCTATTGTACTGACAATTCACATGGGGTGCGTGTCCAGTCTATGAAAATTAGGTCAACTAAAGGAGGTGGTCAGTGTAGGGAGTGGTCGGTAATGAAGGGTCTACTGCATATGACAGATTTTCACGAAAAAAAACAAAACTGTGTTGTGAGCACTTAAAAAAATAAATATAGATCAGCTATTCAGGATTGATGTATGTGAAACATCATTTTATACTTGGAATTGATTCAAATTCACTGTTAGTCCGTATTTTTATCAACTATTGATAATACATTTTAATTAAAAAATTGTTTTTGTTGATAAGCAAGATGAAGCTCAAAATTGGTGAGCCCCCCCGCCCCCCCATGGGCATTTAAAGTATATTTGGAAAATGCAGCTGTAGGTAATGATAGACCAAGATAACTAACAATTTTCACCTGAATCCATGATGGTCATGAAAAGAAATTAAAGAGAAAGCTCTAAAGGAAGGGCTTTGCCTATGGTTCTTTAAGGAAAAATTAAAAAAATATTTTTTCAGGTGGGATTTCTCCGTTAATAGCACCTATTTTGGTATCAGCTGCTTTCTGAGGCCCAGAATTCATCCCCATTGGCTTTTTAGAGTGCTCATGTTGTCTTGGATCTGGGTAGAGGTAGTTTTATAATTGTGGAATCTTGTTTTTTAATTGTAATTTGCTGGATTGAGATTACTCGGGCATCTTGATGCAAGGCAGTGAACTGGGGAAACAAGACCCTTGAAAGACAAGATAAAAAGGAGATAGGATTTTCAAAATGAACCTAGTAATTAAGATTTCATGGGATCGTTTAGGATGTTTTCCACCTCACAGTGTTGGTTTTTTTTATCTCCTCCTAACAGCTATAATAACACTATATTTGGCTTGGGATGAAAGACCGCAATCTTCCCTTTTTATTTTTTACATCAATCCCCAACTTTTCATTTCTCGGTACCCCTTGTTTTTGTTTCTTACAAGTTAAGCACTCATTAAATTCTCATAAAAAGGCAGGTAATGTTTTGGCACGCACAGTGATCTGATACACTTGAGTCTAATATAACCAGCACATGATCTGATCCAGCTAGCGTGGAGAAACTCAGGGTGGTGTTTGCTGTGGAGGCTTTCTGTGTATAGACTCAGGAGACCAGA